ACTTAAGAGTGCAGTTTCTTGTCGCCGGATTTAAGAGTCTTAAACTCTTGTTTCAAGCGGATTTTGCATTGATTCAATTCAAAATCCGCTTGAAACAAGAGTCCAGACTCTTAAATCCGGCGACAAGTAACTGCACTCTAGAACCAAGAGGTTTTTTTTTACCAGTGTATGAATCATCAATGAAATTTTCAGTTGCAAATGCCCAAGAGTCTACAGTTAAATTTTCAATTTGGGAGGGGAAATTCGGCAACGTTGAAAAGTAGTTAAGCTCTTTCGTGGAGGAGACGACGAAATATCTGAAGCACAGAGTGCGGTCACTCGGCTGGTTGTTGCACCTTGGGCGTGAGTTCGAAGTGGAAATGCATCGGGAAGAACTGGTGCCGGAGCCAGGCTGGAGCTGGAGTCATCCCGCATCCCGCTACGGAGCTACTCCGTTTACGTCGTCTCGACCGCTGCCGTCTTGCGTTCCGCGTGAGCCGCGTCCGCAGTGTCCGCACCGCGTCTGTAAGCTCGGAGCAAATCTTAAGTGGGGAGTCAAGACAACCTCCTGTAAGAGCTTGATGGATTCCCGAGTCTGCCTCTCCACGGCACGCTGCGCCGCGCGCGTCGCCGCAGCGTCGTTGTCGCCTCTCCTCTGGAGTACCTTTATAGGGAGAGTATCGACACTGGGCCCCGTGGAGGGCTTAGGGCCCAAAGATGGCGGCGCACGGAAAGAAATTAAATGTTGATTTAGCATTTATACTGTTAAAAAGATGTCCGACAAGTTTCAAATGCTGATTTTACATTTTAACAAATGCTAACGTAACTACGCCCACTGCAAAACGTACAAATTGAAATTTTATGTTAGCATTTTTGTATTGTAAAATCAGCATTTGAAACTTGTCGGACATCTTTTCAACAGTATACATGCTAAATCAACATTTAATTTTTTTCCGTGCGCTTTGTTTCGGTTTTTGAAGATGGGAAGGGGGCACTGGCAAAAAAAGTCGCTTGAGTCCAGACTCTTAAAAACATTGACAAGAGAAAATACTCTCGATTCAATCGGACTTTTTGCTTAAATCAAATGGAAATCCGCCTAAATCAAGAGGCTCGGCCCTTCGATTCAAGGAAGAATCGGATTGAATCAAAAGCTTTTTTTCTTGTCGATGTTATTTAGAGTCTGGACTCTAGATCCAAGCAACTTTTTTTTCCAGTGGGGGTCATTGCCAATTTTTAGCGGTAGGTAAAGTATAGCAGCTGTCTGCGACGTCGCCAACTGAGATACTTGTTAGTTCGGAATTCGCACCATCGATATATCGATTCTAGGTGAGACAGACTGACTCGCGTAGAATCGATTCTTTATCATAAGTTTTCTCGGAGAAAATTCAAAGTTGCCAACTTGCAAGAATCGGCACTGCTCTCCTTGAAATCTACCATCCCGGAAATGGCTAAATTTTATGAAATTTAATTTTAAATAATTCCGGAAAATTGCAAATTTCATGAAGTGTATACCGATTGAATGTTACCGCTCAGATTGCAGGTTTTATCAGCTAAACGTTTAAGAGCGCTTGAGAAATAAGCCCACCTTTTACAGAAACATCATTTTGATGAACAAGGAAGAGGCAACTAAATATAAGAGAATAAAATAAAAATCCGATTAAAAATAGTTAAAGAACGAGGGGGTTTCTAGGGAAAGCTTCACGCCCTCCACGGCCCGCTTCAAGGGCTCCCATGAGTTCACGAGTGAGTTAATAATCACTTGATGGCTTATGAAACTCTGGTGACTTGAACGCCCGATTAAGCAGAAAGTCGGTCCGAAGCCGGGCGGCATAGTGCCGCATCTTATCAAATTTTCACATTACACATTAACATCAGGCAACTCTTATGTATGTATGAGTTGATAACATTACTACGGAGGTACACCCCCTGGCCACCAGGCAGCCTAACCCTTAGGGATCGCTTCGCGCCCTTCTATCACCATCTTCGCGGGTCCCCATGAGTTAATCTAAATAGTTCGGGCTCATCTAGGGAGTATCTTCTGTCGATAGTTTGAAACATCATCACCTGATAAATCTTTAGAATGAATTATGACAAATAATGAACATTTTACTCCTATAAATGGAATAATTTACTCACAACTTTATATCGTGGTATATAATAACCTCGGTCATACGCGGGCTTATCCATGAACCTGTCGATATCCGCAAAAGTTTTACTAACAGCTCTACATAAGAATAAAACGGACTGTGACAATTTAGGGGGTCAAAGAGCTTATAGTAATGAAATGAACGAGGTTTTGTGTAGCGTTTGGATTTTGTGAGTGGGTTGCAAATCTATCCCCTATGGGTGGAATGTTTCAGAACGTATATTTGCTTTCATTCTGATTTAATTAAATATAACGGGATTATATAACGGAAAAATTTAATTAAATTTATTTTGATCAATAGGGGAGATTATTGAGTATCTCTTTTCAGTCAAAACTCTGTAACTTCTGTACAGATTGATCCAAAAGTCTGGAAACCCCCTCCCCTCCCGTGCTAACTTTTGACAAGGTTGATACGGGATGGGTATCTAACGTTAAACAATAACGCTAACGTAATCCTCGCTGAAATTTTGATGGGCTACTACGAGAATTCATAATGAAAAACGAGTGAGAAAACTGAATTGTTACATTCTTTTGCTAATTTGAGTAAACAAACTGATCTCTGGCAGGAGAATATGGGAAATGATTGGCAGGGATTTGCTATCAAACTGCATTTTTCACTTATTTTCACGAATAACACATGAGGTATTCAAGATCTCTTTTCGGCGACGCGATGAAAGCATTTTAAATTAGTGCATTACTTTCCTCTCGGTCAACTTGGAGCGACAGGAACATCTTCAACACTTCTCGTCGAATCATCGGACTGATCACTCTGATACTTAGAGATTATCTAATGCTCCTCTCCCAGCATGATGTAACCTAGGAATGACGCAAGTTTTACTCGTATCAGATCTAATTTTGGTGTACCTCATTTGAAAGTACCTGTTTACGGTCGTCCATCCCTGGGTCCTTCCGCTTGTTTTCATGTCTTTTTTCCGTTGATACATCGATTCGAGTCCTGGCAGCATCCTCGCTGACTTTTAATTTGATAGTCTTGGGTTTCGTTGCATAAAAATCTCCAAACCTAGGATTAAACGTGTCTGGCTGAACATACGCACAAGCGCTCTAAAAAAAATTATTCCACTTCCTGTCTAACACGGTCGGTGAAACATCGAGTGATCCTGAACCAGGGTTGACTAGAGATTGTTTTCGTCTTCCCGCACCCCTCTTTAGTAGGCACCTAGTCTACTATCCAAATATATGATGAGGAAGAAAAAAACTCTTACATTCAAAGAGAAAATTATTCGAAAAAAAACTAATGAAATAACCGAGTTAAGGAACCATTTTGCTTCTATTTTTTTACAAAAAAATCTTATCTTTATCTTTTATAAGTTTTTTATCACTTTATTTTAGTAAATTATGTAAACGTTTACTGAATTACATTCACATACTTAAAATTTTATTACATATGTAAATTTGTAACTACGGAAGTGGATACTTTTCAGATTGAAACTTCATTAGTCTGAATGATAAAATATCATCCACAAATTTACAGTGGAACTTCAAAAGAGACGCATGATGCCAGAGGAAAAGTAAACAGAAAGGTGCAACGTTAAAGAGGACTTTTTTTATAATTCACAGCGTCGTTTATCGGTTCAATCAAAGCTTAGGGTGCGGTATGATTGTATGTGTCTTTCAAGTGGATGACTGTTCACGCTACCCGGTGTATTTATGGCCTATACAATGAAATTTAAGGCGAACCGTAATGATAATGAATGATATCCGTCAGTAGATTTACGCATGGTCTATTGGTTCTGTCAAAGTTAATGGAGCGAGATAATGTGAGTTTTTCGAATAGATTCGAGATTCGTGCTCTCCGGTATGTTTATTGCCTATGCAGCAAAATTGAAGGCGAGTGTCAGTTAGGCGATACCTACCGATAAGTCAACCACATCGTTCATCGGTTAATTTAAGCTCACGCAGCTGTTAAAAAGTGTATTTTACGAATCAATGAGGACATTTGAAAGGGCGATTTTCCCCGAGTGGATTTGGTTGACTTTTTAAACTAAATCCTAATAAGGAGCGTTTTTTTTCTCTCAACCCAATTCATCAGTCTGTTGAGCTCATCAGCTACCAGTGTCTGAACCAAATCCAAACTTTTTTTCAACCCACCTCCAGGCGTAGGTCGAAAAAAGGATGATAATAAACGTTTCAATAGAAACCTTGAAAAATAACCCATTTTTTCCAAAATGACAGTGTTCTCTGCCACGAAAACAAATGAGCAACAACAATCGCGGTGAGATGGTGGCGATAAAGTTAAGGGTAGAAATTACACATATTTTTTTTACATACGTATTATAATTTGTATGATATTTTACATTGCAGAATAAGTCGTGTTTCATCGGCCAAATAGCGCGCTTTTTTAAACCTAACCCGGGATTTGGCCCGTTTTCTTCCGGATTTGGTTGAAAATTGGATACTCTATTCTGTTTGGTCCAAATTCCAACTGTAATACAACAGTGATCTATCCAAAAAAGTAACCCAATCCAGTCGCGAAAATTTGCCTGAAGAAAACTTCAAATTCATAAACAAATTAATCATCTATACATATTGAAATAATCATCACGGCTGAAGAAGTTAACCAAAACCATGACGTAAAATTAACCAAGCGCGCAGCACAATTTTTGGGAGAAATGGAGTGGATGCTCTGATTTAGAGCTGCATCACAGCTCTGCCGTACGGAAGAGAGCCGTAAGTGCATATCTGTGGTGACCCGCGGTTAGCACATGCTCTGATGTGTCTCGAGGCTCATCAGACTGCACTTACGGCTCTTTTCCGCAACACGGTAGAGCTTGCGACCAGGACAAGCGTCGCGCGTTGGTCGGGGCCTCAGCTCAACACAAGCCGCTTTCTGGAAGTGGCAGTATGGTGCGTTGGGACTAGTGAGTGGTGGAGGAGGGCACCAGATATATCTCATTTCTCTTTCTTACCAGTGCGTTTGAATCCTCTCTACCTGCGCGACGTTATCCGTTCTTGCCGCTGTGCCTCCGCGACGCGACCTCTTGAACCCGTCGTCTCGTTCATTCTAAAAAAATAGTGCATTATTTAAGTCCTGCCTATATTCACGCTCTTCGAGTGCATTTTTCATATTCTATTGTATTCGTATTCAAATTATCTAAGTGAACGGAGTGATAACTCTAAAAAAAGTGTAAATAAACGATTAAAAACCAGGAACGTTGCGATTTTCTGAAGTTTTTAATACTGTATGTACACGAGTGTTTTTATAGCGGGATTTTACTTTTTCAACCGGATTATTTAAGGCTTTAACGTTAATGTGTCGTTTCAGTGTTATTAGACGTTTCTTGCTCATGGAATAATAAAGACGTTACTGAACCGGACTGCAAAACTGAGCTCTGTGAGTAATATTAGTACTGCTCTTTTATTAATTTATTAAAATATATCAGAGGTACGAAAGTTAATGGCAATGTTCAAGTCCCTGCCTTTATTAGTCAAAGGTATATTCGAAATAAAGTTTTTCTGCCTTGTCATAAAACACTTTTTTCCTGAAAACTAAGGATGTTTTGTCAACTGTGGAAGATGGAGAGATCATGTGTATTTATTTTCTGGAGATATGCATACATGTTCTCAAAATTAAATGCCTCTTTATGTCTTTAGCGTGGAATATACTCTAGTAAGTTTTAAAACCAGAAAACTCAAAAACGTAGTCAGAGGAGAGCCCCTACCCATGAATTGAAATTTACCCCCAAATAGATCATTTTCATTCAATATTTCTTTGACGGACAAACATTTTAGATTTGCTTTTAAAGTTAGCAGTTTGCATGCCATCCCACATGTTATTTTTTACTCCTTATTCCTCCAAAACTGTCCAGAAGGTAGCATCTTTTAAAATTAAGAATGTTTGATAAAATATGATTATTTCTGGGGAGATTTTTGGGTTTTAAGGGTTCAGTTTCACGGAAGGCGCGGTAAATCACTCAAATTTAGCTTCTACGGGAGGTTTTGGGAGTGAAATACACGGTTCAGCGGGGTGCGCAAGTCAAATTTGGATTTTTCCGATTTTCCGCACTCATTGATGTATAGGAATTATTTGTCGCAATTCTTCTGAGCGAAACAGATTTTTTACCGGGCAAGAATGGGAACACGCCACTCCGGTCATATGACGGAAAGGCGTATCTCAATTTGTGCGTGAACCTCGTTTTACATATAAATCCGTGGTTTCTGGGGCTCATGTGAAAATCGATATGCACCCTTACGTCAAGGGAGCGACGATATAATTAGTTTTCGATGCAAAGAGGCTGAACCATCCCCGCCCATGGGCTCATACTATTAACGATTCGGAAATTCAATTGAGCTGCAACCCAGCTGCAATGTACCTGAACAATACAGACAGTGAAAAACGAAATCCCTATCCTGAAAACGCTGTTTCAAAATTTCCACCACAGTTTTATTTTTCTACCGAGTTTTGCAGGATGTGTCTCTATAAATTTTCCGAAAAAAATCTTGCTTAAGCGAAAATTTTTAAAAAAAAAAAAATGAAAATGAAAACGAAAAACAAGGGACTTCTCGCAACCGGATGATCAAACATCCACCATATCGAACGAACCGCACTGGAAAAAAAAAAAAAAAACACATCGGATCTAGAGTCCAGACTCTTGAAAACATTGACAAGAAAAAATACTCTTGATCCAATCCGATTTTTGCTCGAATCAAAACGAAATCCGCTTAGATTAAGAGGCTTGGTTCTTGAATTAAGCTAGATTCTGATTGAATCAAGAGTACTTTTTCTTGTCGATGTTTTTAAGAGTCTGGACTCTAGATCCAATGTGTCTATTTTTCCAGTGCGAGGTACATTTTTTAATGGTTTTATCATCGATTTATATACTCTGATAACATAATCTGAAAAGGTTTCGGCATTGTTCCAGCCCGAACGCCAAGTTTTTTAGGCGAAGTAATTATTTCAACTCAGCGACACGATTTTCTGAAAACTCGATGAAGGAGCTAACGGAGAGCGGAACGGAGCGTGAGGTAGATTAAAAATGGAACCAATGCGTCACACCGTGAAGTAAATAATTATACTCGAAGGGTTTGGAGGATGGGAAAGAGAAAATCAGTTTAAATGAGGGTCATCTTTTTTTTACCCTCCCGCGATTGACCCACACAGGGACCGGCGCTCCCAATTGTCTGCGATCGAGCGGCAGTGGCGGCGGTCTTTTAAAGTCACGAAGAAAACGCCGATACAAGTCATAACAAACGAGAAGGGATAGAAACCTTCGATCTCATGAATAAGGTCCGAGGATAAGCAGAGGATCAGCGTTTTTCAGGTAAAGCCAGGAAAAAGACGCATACTGCCGTGCTAAGGAAGATCGTCGTATGAACATCCCAGAGTTGCCAAATTTCCTTCGATAATATGTTTATTTTCGAGGAAAGTTATGAATATTATTTCTTCAAATTTTCAGGAAATTTGAAGAAAATAGTAATTACTAATATCTGAAAGATTAGAAAAAAAATATTCATGAATTTACCAGGAAATTCGTGTTTTATGAATGGAAATTTGGCAACGCCTGAAGGTTCATACGGCGTTTGTCCTTAGCACGGCAGTAGAGGACTGGGGTGTATTTCAACGCCGCGGTAAAACTCCCAAACCACGTATCTTGTTTGCGGTGTTCGAAAGTCTCCTCTCCTATTCTATTTTTTTTTTGAGGGAAAACAAATCCATATCATTCCGTAGAGTTTCTTGAGAATTTGCTTTGCTTAGAGAAGAAAAAACACGGAAGTTTTGAAAATGGACGCTCGGCGTTTTACCATTTTAGACGACGACAAAAAGTCTGCAATGCCGCAAACCGAGATACGTGGTTTGGGATTTTTGCCTTCGATATGCTCCTCTTACATGGAAGCACCAATCTACGCGTATATTCTATACAGTTGTTAGCCAAATACTTGGTCATACTATCCCTGACGACCTGTCGGGCTGATAGGCATGACCTCTCCATTTGTGTACTTTACTAGCCGTAGAGTGCGGATGATCATCAAAACGCCTTTTTTCAAAAACTAGGGGTCTTTGCTTGGTAGCGCAAGTTCCGCACGAACCACAGTAAAGGTACCTATAAGAAATATGCAGTTTCCGCAAAAAATGTTCCTGGCCTGATTTTGATTGAACCTCAGCGAGAACAACCCCAGACCAGAATCGCCTGAATATGCATATGATATGAATGAATGCAAAGCTGAATTGATATACTATTCTTGCGGAGTGACTTACACTTTTACGGAGCGAAATCAACTCTTATTTTGCGCCGAGTGTCGTAAGCTCTCATGGAGCAAATTGCGCTCCAGTTTCAGATCACGTGGGTTTTTGGGCGCTGCATAATCCGGATTAAGATATACCTGCACCAAATTTCACTCCGAGATTTTTAGCAGTGTAGTTGGCGATGAAAAAAATACCCGTGCACGCGGAAAATTAAAGAACGTGAAATACGGACAAAAGGCATTTTGTGTATTTGGGAGTGACTTTCAGACTTCTTATTGTGTGCTTATCGCATGATTTTTTTGCGGTTTTACCTTTAAAAAATCTACTCATTTATCAATACCTCTTGTGTTTAACAGGCACATTTGGTGCGTCGAAAAAGAAGCGAAAAGAAGCTTTAATACGTTTATATTAGAGAAACACTCAGCTATTATCTATATGTAGGCGCGTTTTTAAGTTAACCGAAGAAGACGAACACCGTTGGGATGAATGAACTCGCTTACCGAAATTTCAACTTCTTGAGGAAACTGCAACTCCGCTAAAATAATAAATTAAAGAAAAACGATTATCGCGTCTTCCGTGCTTTGACATCAGAAGCCTTAAATAAAAGCAGCACAGATTAATCTATTCTTAATTTGTTAGGCCCCTCTCCGTCATTTTGTTGTTGAGTTGATGCGCCATCGGAACGCACTGCCACTAGTTTACTAGAATTTATGAGACAGGTTGAAATAAAAAAAGTGCTCCCTATCGGCTGAGTGCTTAAAAATTATTACAACACGGAGAAAAAAACTTTGTGCATGGGAACCGAAGTTGAGGTCATGTGGATCTCTGAAGTTTTCGGATCACGTATCTAAAAACTTGAGGTCGAGCTGCCGAAGTTCGGGTCAGACATCGAGGCACTTCGGTATGTGCCGGAGTACTTCAGACGTGTGACCCGAACCCTTCGGTATTTATCGAGGTACTTCAGATGTGTGACCCGAACTTCGGCAGTTGGACCACAAGTTTTTAGATACTTGATCCGAAAACTTCAGAGATCCATGACCTCAACTTCGGGTTCCACGCACGAAGTTTTTCTCTCAGTGAATGTGAGGAGAAACTGGTAAATTGAGGATGAGAAGTGACGAAGACTTGGAAAGAGCCAAAGCTGGCAACTCGAGTCTGAGGTTGAGAGCGTCAAACCCTGACTGCGCAATTATGAGCATTGCACTCGAGCTTAGCTCACCGCGTGAAAATCCTGCAAGGAAGATCAATTAGCGTGAAACTATTGTTACATCTTGGTGCGCTGCGTTGAGTTGCGTTGAATCGCGCAGCGGCTTGGCGCACGGTGGATCGAGTCAACAGGAGAGGCCGGACAAAATTTGGAAATTTTAAACGCTTATAACGCCGTTTATACAAAACGTTGAGGTTCTAAAAGTGGTTTCGTTGGTTTTTCGTGAAATTTCCCGATAGAATCACCCCTTGCTTGAAGTTTAAAATTGTGACGAAATAAACATGAAAATTTGCAGTTTTAGTCGAAAATTGCATGTCCAACCTCTCTGATTGACTCGCTCCACTGTGCGTCGCGTCGGGCTCGGGCTAAAGTCCTTTATCACGACTTGCGAAGCTGCGTGGCTGGGTTGACCGTTCATCCAGCGCTAACATTACTTGGATAGCATTGCGGAAATTTATCATATCTACATTGGGAGTTTTGAAAAAAATGACTCAAGTGCAATTGTTAAGGATTTCAAAGGTATGACAGGAAAGTACACGTAATTGGAAACAGGAGTAGGAAAACCGGAGGAGGAAGGAAAAGAAGAAGAGAGTCGAGACTAAGAGGCGAGAGAAAAACTTTAAAATGGGAAGAATAAGAGGAAGAAGGAGGAATTTTTTTATGGAGAAGAATAGGACGAGGGGAGTTATTGGAGGAAAGATACGGATAAAAATATAAAATAAAAAAAAGGAGATGAATACTTTCTTCCTTTAATTTTTTTCTATTTGTTGTCCTTCTTATTCTCTTTTTCCCCACACTTTTTTCCTTCATATAATTCTCCTCTTCTTCTCTTTCTTATTTCCCATTCTTCATCCTCTTTCTCTCTTTATTCTTTTTCTCCCTGTATTCTTCAAATAATTCTTATCACTAACTCTTCTTCTTTCTCCTCTCTTTCTTTTTCATC